GTTTTAATTTTCTGCATTCTACATCAGAATTCATTGAACCTGCAGTGTGTATGAAACAGTTTCTAACAAATGCATCTATTTTTATTCCTCTATTCTATATTACTGTTGCTGCCTTAACCTGCTATATACAATGCAGCATTAAGATCTCCTGCAGTTGCATCCTATAGGTTTCTTTTTATGTAATGCCTTATAACAGGGGTGGGCAAAATGTAACCTGCAGGCTGACTCTGGCCCATCAACAGATTTGACCTGGTCTGCTGGTAGACAACTGCCAACTCGCTAGATCTAGCCTGTTGGCTCCAGCCACCTTGTGGTTTCAGGTGGGCAGGGGGGAAGGGGAATGGGACTGCTTCAGCCCAGCAGCATCAGGCATCAGCTATGGACCCAGGTAGGGTTTCCTCCACAGCTGGCTGGCAGCAGCATGAGCTATGGATGCTGAGGGCAGGTTCAGGAGCCTGGATGCAGAACCTGTTAATGGCATCCGCAGTCGACCTGCCCCCTTCCTAGTGTGGTGAAAACTCCCACCCAGAGCCCCAACCTGGAACCTGCCAGCAGCGTCAGCTGTAGATCCAGGGAGGAGCTGCTGGTGTGCTGGGTGGGCAGCAGCTTCTCTCATTCTCTCCTCTCTTCGTCTCTCTTCCCCCTCCAGAACCCAGCTGAAGCTGATGCCATCACCCTCCCGGCATGGCAGAAACTCTTGCCTGGGTCCATAGCTGAGCATTGGAGCTCCTGTTGAACTACAGCTTTGGCTAGGTTCTGGAGACAGGGAGGGAGAGGGAGGGAAAGAGGGGGAGAAACAGGGAGATAGACAAGGAGACAGACAGAGACAGACAGGCAGATAGAGAGAAGAGAAGAGAAGAGAAGAGAAGAGAAGAGAAGAGAAGAGAAGAGAGAGACAGAGAGACAGAAGAGAGAGAGGCAGACAGAGAGAGAAAAAGAGAGAGAGAGAAGACAGAAATAGGAGAGAGACGAGAAAAGAGAAAACAGTGAGACAGAGGGACAGAGATGGATATGGCCCTCAACAGGTCCCCAAAACTCATTAACTGGACTTCCAGCCAAAATATTTGCCCATCCCTGCCTTATTAAGTCCAGTCCCCTTTACAACTATTTCCTTCTGATTCCTTTAATAAAGACCTTTTTTTCCTGGCTTGGCTGCTTTTTATTTTTTTTTCTCCTGTCGCACATGGTCAATCTAAATATAACTGTTTTCAAAACTTAATAAAAATGAATATTTCTACTTGTTTGCTTTAAGCTTATTGTAAGTTTAAAATACATTTCTTGGATAATATTTTCTAATAACAAAAATATTAGACAGTGGATGTATTCAGCCAATATGTAATTATGCATTTTGGAGGAGTGGAAGTGGGATTATAAACCTTTTCAGCAGCTCTTCTCTGAAGATCCTTCTGTTTGATGAAAAGTAGTTGAAATTTCAATAGTTTTCCAAGCAATGTTACAGGAAGCTGTTCTCCACTATCCAGAATGGCTTTGGCTACCTCAATCACCTGCAGAGAGGTACAAAAACAGTTATTATTAATATAAGTCTGATATTACACTTGACATATTCTTTGTATGCTGAAAAGATGGAATAGTATTTTGCATGTTCCAACTGTTCAAAATCATGACACACCACTAATATATAGTCTTTCCACCATCTCATTCTTTGGCTCTTGGATCCTTCTTGCTAATTGGTTGGAGTGGTGCACATGATAAGAATCTGAGACAGAAAAATCATTCTGTATTTCATTTTAGTGTTAGACAGAGATCCATGTCATACTGTAAAAAAGTCATTTTTTTAGGTTTTAAGTAGAGAAGTAACATTATACAGCAGTGTATTAGAAAGTAATAAATTAAAGGATGTTAAACAAATTGACTTTTATTAGTAGATGTTTAGGATTGTGAATCCAAAAAAAAGATGACAAAGCTGGTAGGGAAATACATATCGCCCGAGTGAGGGACTAATATTAGAGGGATGGGGGTGAGGATAGGAACGCAACTAGGTTACAGGAGATACAATGTTAC